ACTTAAATATAATTTAACACATATACCAAATCATTCATGCAAGTGTTTTGAAAACAAAAAGCTTTATGAAAACAAAAAATATGAGCTTCAGTTTCTTGAGGGACCACAAAAGTTGAGAACACAAACAAACATTTCTCAAGGCAATGAATGCACAAGTTTCTTGAGCTAATGCAAACATTGGATGCAAACAAATTCCAGTTCCTCTTCAGGAACTCGAGCTGCGTCGAAAAACGCTAGGGGAACGCCGTTCAGCGTGACGGGCTCTGAATCTCGTGTGTAATCAGACCAACAGCTGGGCGAGACGTCACGGCGGGTGACGTAATGACCAGGAGGCTATAAAAGCACGTGCGGTGAGACCAGCGTCAGCTTTTTGTCATTCAGCAAGCGCTCTGTGTGTGTGTCAGTCTGATATCTGTTTGTGAGTAGAACATATTTGGTGTTGTCTGTCCCGTAGGGCTAGAAAATAAGGAAAATAATTATGTCCAAGGCACATGACAAGTCACATCATTTCAGTAGGGGCGAAGGCAGCCAGCGTTTCAAACTGTGTGTTCCTCCGGCGGGTTGGTCCACGCCCCTTACCTTTGTTAGGTTTTATGGTCTAGACTTGCGAGCCACTCCTGGCTCTTCTGTTCTCTCGCCGTAGCTGTGCAGTCTTCCACACTCGGCAGAGACTTAGAAGTCTGGCGGCGTGGGCATTCTCGTTCCCCTAGCGTTTTTCGACGCAGCTCGAGTTCCTGAAGAGGAACGTCTCAGGTTACGTATGTAACCCTAGTTCCTCGAGGGAACGAGACGCTGCGTCTCGGTGCCATCCTTCCGGCGTCCCTGCCAGCGCTTGCTTCACTCCTTGAGCTGACGCTGGTCTCACCGCACGTGCTTTTATAGCCTCCTGGTCATTACGTCACCCACCGTGACGTCTCGCCCAGCTGTTGGTCTGATTACACACGAGATTCAGAGCCCGTCACGCTGAACGGCGTTCCCCTAGCGTTTTTCGACGCAGCGTCTCGTTCCCTCGAGGAACTAGGGTTACATACGTAACCCGAGACGTTTTCTTGTGTGAACAAACATTGAGTAAAAAGTTTCTTGAGAGAAAGCATGTAGTCACCTAACGGGAGTTTTGAGCGCGACAAACATTTTGTGAGCTTACAAAAGTTTTGTGCAAACACAAAGTGTTGTGAGTTTTTGAGCAAATGCAAACATTAGGCTAGCTTACAAATGTTTTGTGAGTGAACGTAAAGTTTGAGGCAGTGCACTTGTATCGAGAGCAAATGCATAGGTTTGGAGACCGAACACAATTTATTTACAAACGTTTTGCGTGCAAACAAGGTTTCTTGAGTAAACGCAAACTTTGTGTGAGTTTTTAAAAGTTCTAAAAGTTTATGGGTAACAATTTCTTAAGCGAAAGCAAACATTTTTAATTAACAAGTTTTGTGAGCGAAAGCTAATTTTTTGAGACTGAATGCAAAGGAGACATTATGTGAGCTAACAAAATTTTTTTGTGAGGGAACGCAAACTTTAATAAGCATACACAGTTTCAAAGTTTCTCAAAGGGAACATTTTGAGAGTTGACAAAATTTGTGATGCACACAAAGATTCTTGAGGAAATAAGTTTGAGAGCAAACATTTTCTCAAGTGAACGCAAACGTTTTTTCAGTTTGAACTAACAGTTTCTTGAGGGAATGCAAACATCGTGTGAGCTAACAGTTTTTGGCAAACGCAAACATTTTGAGTTAACAAAAGTTTCGTGAGCAAACACAACATTTCTTGAGGGAAGGCAAAGGTTTCTCATGAGAAGTCTCAGTTTTGAAAATGAATGCAAAGTTTCTCAAAGAAACGCAAAAGTTTTGTGAGCAAACAGTTTCTCGAGGGAATGCAAACTTTCGGAAGCATACACAAAGTTTCTAGTTTTGAAGTTTCTCAAGGGAACATTTTGTGAGTTGACAGGTTTTGTGTGCAAACGCAAAAGTTCTTGAGAAAAGTTTCTCAAGGGAACGTAAAAGTTTTGCAAACTAACAGTTTCTTGAGGGAACGCAAAATGTTTGCTAGCAAATGCAAAGTTTGAGTAAATGCAAACATTGTGTGAGTTTTTTTGGCTAATGCAAAAGGTAAATCAACAAACATTTTAAGAGTTAGCAAAAAGTTTTGTTAGTGAGTGGAAACATTTCTTGAGGGAACGCAAACGTTTGAGATCAAATGCAGTTTTACAAACTAGCAGTTTCTTGAGGGAACACAATTTTTGTAATTGAATGCAAAAGCATTGAAAGAATTTCTTAACTCTCAAAATGTTTGCATTCGCTTAATTAGCCAAAAACTGTTAGCCAAAAGCTTTGTGTTCCCTCAAGCTTGCAAAACTTTTGTTTACGCACAAACATTTTGTGTACCCCCTCGAAACATTTGCTCTCAAAACTTTTGTTCCGTTAACAATTGAACTCACAAAATATCTCCTTAAACTTTGCATTGTCACAAAACATTCACAAATCACTCAAGAAACTGTTCGTTCACAACTTTTTAGTTCAATCACAATTATTCTGTGTCCTCTAAGAAACTTTGTTTGCTTTATTTCCATTTGGAGTGACCGCATTCCACAGATTCTGTACATAAAGTGTTAAGTTGTACTAAAGTGTATCATTCTGCAGTTGTTTAAGGGTTAAATCTGTGTTTTTTCTCTAGTTGCGGTATCAGAAGTGTCTGGGGAAGTCCGACTCCTTGACTCCGCCCCCTACCGACTCCGTCACCCGCCGCGTAACGTCCAGCGTCAAGCGCGGCGTCCAATCAATTATAGACACTCTGAAAAAGAAGCCCGCCCCCGAGGTTCCCCACCAATGACGGAGCAGAACAGCTGTGATGGACAGCAGGTGTATGTGTGTGTATTTACTGATGCAAACGAGAAGAGTAACAGGCCAACATAACAAAAAAAAGACGAGCGAGATGAATGAGATGTCGTCGGCGCGTAACTGCGCTGAATGAAGCATGCGTCTGCCTTACACTAACACATTCTCACTCAAGTATTTCGAGGGCGTCAGTGTTCATGTGGCACTGATCCAGTCACGTTCAGATCAATGTAAGTCTTCACATGCGTGACCTGGATTCAGTGCATCTCATTTCAAACCACCCGCTCATTCACACACTCGGGAAATTGGATCCTTTGAAAATTGTTCTCTTTCCCCAAGAAATTTAGAGTGAATTTTCCGCTGTTGGAAAGTGTGCAAAATGTCACAGACTCGCGGCCTGCCTGATCTATCATCTTTCATCATGATGTTCAGTGGGAATATTGTAATACATCAGAGTCTGTCTGTAACATCTGCTCAGTCTGATACTGTAATGAAGAGCGGAACGGGGATTTTCTGATCACACACACACACACACACAACAGCCTGAAAGAGTCCCTGCGCAAGTACGCAAACACAGACGTGAATGCTTGGCAAATGTGTGCTGCTTCTATACAAACTCAACATGATCCTGTGGTGTTGAAAGTATATATATATATATATATATATATATATATATATATATAAAAAAAACTTCCTTCAGATGTATAAATGACATTAAACCAGATGTTTTTGTTCAGCTGTCCAGCTAAAGATGCCAAAGTTACTCGATCTGTTTTCTTTAAACGTTTATAGAACCTTTAAACAAAATGTATTAAAAAAAAAAAAAAGGTTTGTTTTTGTTTAAAATCATATTTGCTCCATCAGGCTTTTATGGCTTGTAGTCGGATATAGTGAGAATATGCAGGGAAAAAAACAGCCGTTTTATTCAGAGACTCAAAATGAGCAAAAATATGAATCTGCTGCAGATGCTGATATTTATATATGGAGATTCTGATGCTTGTGATGTAAATCAATGAGATATTTATAACAGTAGAGCAGATACTAACACAAAATGATCTAAATATCAGTCGTGGCTCTATATCTCCAGTAATAATAAGATGAGATTGAAATGCTCCAAACATATAATGCAGTGATCGAGAGCTGAAGAAATAAAGACTCCTCAGAAGATGTGAGATGTTCTGGAGGCTTGTGAAGATCATTCCTCCGCTGAGGAACAGTGAAAGTAAAGCTTCTGGAAACAAACGCTCCTCAAAAGATCCTGAGGATCAGATTTGAGACTCTAAAACATGATTGATGGAGAATCAAGTAAAGCTGAGCTGCTTCAGTCCAGTAAGTGTTCATCTGGAGATATTACTGACGTTATTCTGACGCTTACTTGATCAAAATCAGTCAAGATTTGACACGAGAAGCTCGAGCTGAAGCTGGACGTTTGTACAATTACACTAAAAGAGCTTTTACTGGATAAAAGACCATCAACATTGTAAAATGTGGTCGAAATACATTGATTTAATGCTAAACGTTATTAAAAAAAGGTTAACAAATTACATAATTAGCATTGAAATTTTACTTGATGATGATAAAACCGCTTCACAATATCAATGTTGATTTAACCTTGATCATTCCCATTGAATAGCTGGTTGGATCCACTTCAGAAAACCCTCTTATTTTGGTGCCCTTTTGGTGTGTAACAGCCGCTTCATAATTGCATAAATTTTTAAATGGTAAAACAAAGTCTCTTGCTTTTTTTCATTAAGAAATCCCACCTTGTGAAAGTAACCTTAAAAAAGCAACACCATCTAAAAACCATTTCTCCACCGTGAGTCCTTGAGAAACCGTAGAGGACGACGATTTACACTAACGCCCGCCGTAACGCCCTTTTGTAGCAGTGCTGAAGATGCAAAACCTACTTGCATTGCATTATGAAGAGTGGAGCACAGTGATGCATGAACAGAGCTTGCTTTGCTAAGAGATTTTGCGTACTTGCGTAGAGGAATAGCTACATGAGGAATCCCTGCTAAAGTAGAAGCGTCAGATATCAAACAAACACAGGAATGCTATTTTTCACAGAATGGTGTTTTAAACCAGATCGACCACTAAAGACACTCATTTTTACACCATATTAAATGTATCATGTTGTGGAAATAAATGACATCAAAACAAACATGTCTCTCTATGTTTTATTTGCATGTAAACTCGCGTGGCATTGCAAAATATGCATGTTTTGATGGCAGTGTTAGTTTAGTAACAATGGGTCAGTTATCTGGCATTAAAAAGTCGTACATTTTAAAAAAGCGAGTGAAATGCGGACTAATGCGTGTCAGAGCCACGGCCGCAGATGATTCAGTCTGAACGGCGTTTGGCTTCGAGGAAGAGCTGGTGTTGAGTTACGCCACTGCAGGTTTGTGTGGGCGGGGCTTGGCCGGGCAGGAAGGGCGTGGCTCCACCTTTGAGGAAGTAGACCGTCGCTTGACAACAGAACAGGAGGAAATGTGACGGTTGCCGGCCGAAGCACTTCCTGTCGGCCTTTGGGCGGAGCGGGAGGCGGGGAGGAGTGATGATCATTGGTGGAAACCGAGGCCAAACGAGTCAAACTTTTACTGTACGAACTGGAGAAAGGGGCGGGGCTGGGGGCGGAGCCTGTCCTGGAGAAACCGCTCCGAGAGGGACGTTGAGAACTAGATGGTTTATCTGTGGAGATACAGAAGTAAACAGGACGTTTGGTGAGTTTTCCTCAGTAGTTTACTCTGGAAATAATGTTGGGATTACACCGTGTCCTAACTACACGCGACACCGCCATACGCGACAAAAGATATCTTTTCCATGTTAAATCTGAGGTTTTGTGCAAACCAGCCGCAAAGGCCACACGCGAAATTTCTATTTTAGAAACGGTTTCTATTTCCGCGACGTCGCGACTGGAACTCAAGCATACAAACTATACGACAGACGATAATTCTCAGGTGTCCGTGTGCTTTATTCAAAGCTAAACGTGTCTAATGCGAGTTTGAATATCATTTTGCGTGACCTTATAGCCGTACTGAAAGCAACAACAGATAGTTTACCTCAGATCTTGAAAATAAAGTAAAGCAAAGATATACATTTAAAAGTGTGAACTCGCTGCGAACCAACGAGTGCTTTCCATAAAGATGGTATCAGTCACCATGTACATTTAATGATGTTAAAAAGGTTTAATATGTATGAATTAGATTATAAACTTATCCATTTCGTTGTGAGTGCAGAGCGCTTTAGGAGAGGCTCCGCCCCCACACGCTTCTGATTGGCTGTGATATTTAATTGATTCTGTCGCGTTGCATCTGGTGTGGACACCTAAATTGCTTGTTGCTGGAATCTTGTGGCGTTGTGTGTAGTTAGGACACTGTGTTAACAATTAAATCAAGCTAAATCTAATGTTATTGTGTGTATTCGTTAAACTGAAGTAACCGTAGTGTGCCGGACTCCGAGGCGACTGACTCAGTGTCGGCTCTGAGCTGCTTCCTTTCATCTCACGGTTCAGAAATTCCGCCACGCGTGATTGGTCGCTCTGTGTGGCGTGTGGGCGTGTCTTCACAGAGCGTTTCTGATTGGCGGGTGCTCTGTGGGACCGTCGGCCTCGGCCTTCTTTCTTGATTGGCTGGAGGCCGTCTAACAGGCCTTTGGCCGCTGCGCGAGCGAGCACTTCTTGTGGCGTTTCTATCACTTCTGGTTGAGGCTGTGCAGGAGACAAAGAAAAGAAAGAAAGGCTGAAGAGCATTTGAAAAACAATTGTATCTGTTCCAAGGAGGCACTTTAGATAAACACGTCTGACAAATGCATAAAATATATTTAAAAAGCAGTTGAACTGAGGGGAACTTCTGTATTGTATTTTTAAAAATATTTTGGAGCTGTATTTTATAAATATATATTTATATCTCACACACACACACTCTCTCTCACACACACACACACACTCTCTCTCACACACACACACACACACACACACACACAGTGTGAAATAAGGCTGGTCACCAAAGAAAGGGGGTTAAACAGGGAAGAACCAGAATAATGCAACATCCGAACCATAAATAACACAAACACATTCTCGTCTTTCTACCTCATGAACAATTTCAGCAGGACACAAATCATGAAAACAGCAGCATTTGTTAACTTGTATAAACATATAAAAAGGCCGAAAGTTAATAATAATAATAATAATAATGTCAAAAGTAATAGTAAAATAAAATGCTGAAAAAAAGTTTGAAAATCTTAAATGTATTTTTTTTTAATGTATCTAAAAAGATTTAAAAATAATAATATAAAAGAAATAAAAAAGAAAATGGTGAATCAGTCTAATTCTGTGGGGAAATGCTTTCTGAACTACTTCTGTACTGTATTTTGTTTTGTTTTCATTTTCAGCTACATTAAGAGTTACAAACATATAAAAAAAATAATAATAATAAAAAAAAAAATCACAAAGAGGTTAAATAATAGTAAAGTATTTTGAAAATGTACATTTTAAATGTTATTTTCCTGAAATTTGAGCTAATTTCTTTGTATATTTTAAGACGCATTAAAAAGAAAAAAATAAGCTAAACTTTTTAAATTTTTCAGGGAAAAAACCCCCAACAATTCTCATAAATTAGGTCTCTGTGAAGCATGTTGGATCAGTGTGTGTTTCTTCCAGGGTCACTGCTGTCTCAGCACCACACACACACACACACACACACACACACCAGCTGAATTATTCACTGTAAGAGTGTGTATGTGTGAGGATGTGAGGTTTTCCCCTGTTGATGCTAACACATGCAGACATGAGGGCTGAATTATTCAACATGTCCTGCCCTCGTCCTCCTCCTCATCACATTTATTGCCCGTCCTGTGTTTCTGATGCGGCTCTGGCCCCAGATTACGCTCATCATGACTGTCCTTCAGCTGAGCATGAGGTCACACACTGAAACAGAGCCGATCTTCCGTCTGAACGCAGCTGCAGACTTGATTAGTGCTTTCTGAACTACTTCTGTACTGTATTTTGTTTTGTTTTCATTTTCAGCTACATTAAGAGTTACAAACATATAAAAAAAATAATAATAATAAAAAAAAAAATCACAAAGAGGTTAAATAATAGTAAAGTATTTTGAAAATGTACATTTTAAATGTTATTTTCCTGAAATTTGAGCTAATTTCTTTGTATATTTTAAGACGCATTAAAAAGAAAAAAATAAGCTAAACTTTTTAAATTTTTCAGGGAAAAAACCCCCAACAATTCTCATAAATTAGGTCTCTGTGAAGCATGTTGGATCAGTGTGTGTTTCTTCCAGGGTCACTGCTGTCTCAGCACCACACACACACACACACACACACACACACACACACACACCAGCTGAATTATTCACTGTAAGAGTGTGTATGTGTGAGGATGTGAGGTTTTCCCCTGTTGATGCTAACACATGCAGACATGAGGGCTGAATTATTCAACATGTCCTGCCCTCTTCCTCCTCCTCATCACATTTATTGCCCGTCCTGTGTTTCTGATGCGGCTGGCCCCAGATTACGCTCATCATGACTGTCCTTCAGCTGAGCATGAGGTCACACACTGAAACAGAGCCGATCTTCCGTCTGAACGCAGCTGCAGACTTGATTAGTCCCAGGTGCGACCGTAAAGCCGCGTGTTTTACGGGAGGAGGGTTATATTCCCACACACGTCTAATAGCCTTTATGAGACCTTTATAAGCGAAGCACAATGATCTTTATTAGTGGCTTTTATTAGTCGTGGCAGGAAGGATATGGAGCTTGATGATGTTTTCCTGACTGTCAGTGCAGAACTAAATATGACGGATCGCTGTAATCTAACTCGGCGTATACGTCGCGTTGTTTGCTGGAGTTTAACTCTGATCCAGCAGGAAGCTCTTCTCTTTCTCCGTCTCTCTGCCGTGTTATTTTTAGCTGCAGATGAAAGCAGAGGGAGGATTCCTCAACAGACACAGCAGGATTAGTCCATGAGAAACAAAGAGCGTCTCTATCGAACCCCAGAGAAACTCTTCCCAGCATGCTTTCAGCATCAGCTAGAAAGAACCACCAGCCTGAAAGAACCGTATCTGTTCCAGCTCACAGACTCGCTCTCTGTTTATATTATTATTTGTAATGATTATACACGCACACGCATAGAAAAATATACAGAAATCTGGCTCAAAAATATTTCAGGAAGATAAAACAAAATAAACATTTTCGTTATTTTACTACTATTTTTGGCTTGGTATAGTTAAGATCAAAATATAAATAGTTCAACACACACACACATATATATATTTATATTATATAGATTTACCAAGAAAGGGCTCGAAATATTTCAGAAAGATAAACCTAAATATTTGATATATTTTATTACTTTTTTTTTTTTATTAGTGTAAACTAATAAAGGGCTACAAATATTTCAGGGGAAAAAAAACCAACAAAAATATATTCTAGTACTATTTTTGGCTTAGTGTAGTTTTGAAATCAAAATATATAAATTGTTCAAAATATATATTAGTTAGATAAATAAATAAATATAGAAAATTGGTTAAAAGATACTTACGGAAAATAAACGTTCCAATATTTACATATATATATATCTTAATATCTAATGTATTATATAAAATATCTAATATATTAAATATATTTTAGGTCCTTCACTAATGTTTTTGTGCATTTTTAATATCTAAATATAAAAATATTGTTAAAAAAATATCTATCATCTATCTATCTATCTATCTATCTATATATATATTTCAGAAACAAACAAAAAATATTTTAAATATTTGATTGCTATTTTTTTAGTAGTGTAGTTTTAAACAAAATATATTAGTGTTGTTCAAAACATATAAAAATACAAAAACTTGGCTACAAATATTTCAGGAAAAAAATATTTTAGTAATTTTAGTACTATTTTTGGCTTAGTGTAGTTTTAAAATCAAAATATATAAATAGTTCAAAATATAAAAGCTATATAAATATACAAAATTGGTTAAAAGATACTCAAGAAAAATTTACTTTCCAATATTTACATAAATATTTTAAATATATTTTAGGTACTACAGTACTTTACTACTGTTTTTAGGATTGTGCATTTTTAATATCTAAATATAAAAATATTGTTCGAAATGTTCCCCCCCCCCACAGTTTGACTGGTTCACAATTTCATATACGTTATGCATCTGCCACATGTTGATTTGATCGAGTCTAAAGGCATCAATAGTGATGGTCTAGGAACCACAAACAGCTCGATCAGAAATAATCACCATTTCCTCTCATTACAGAGATACTTGCTATAATGCACAGTGTATGACCAGATCCTTTTCTTTTCTTCTTTACTCATCATTTAATTACATTCTTCTATAAAACTGTATTTTTAAAAAATGCAGAAATGCCAGATTTGTGATAACTGCACACCACACAATGAATTAAACATGCAACATAACGAGAGCATGTGACTGCAGTGTCTCACACAACCGTCTGAAACATTTAAAATCGCTGCATAATTTTTTAAAATGATGTAGCATATAGTATACACACTACATAGTATGCAAGTATCTATTCTGACAAATTTTCCTTTCCATTTAACCACATTTCAAGTGCTTTCAAACACACAAATGAGGGTAAAACATTTGTTTTTAAATGCTGAACTAATGATTTTCTGATCAGATGATCCACGTGACAAATCACACGCAGAGGCCGGACTGGGTTTATTCTCATGCATGTTCTCAACTCTCACTTTGTGTACATGGGTCAACGACGAAAAAGGGTTTAAGCATAAAAACAATAAGTGTAATACTGCTTTAAATTGTTGTTGTTGTTTTCCCGAATTTAAAAAAAAAAAAGTTTTGTTTTTGTTTTTCTGAGCAAAAAATAAAATATCATACATTTGTCCTTGATTTACAGAAGACACCCACTAAAATGTCATTCAGTGTAACAGTCCTGTCACGCATATTTACAACAAAAATCAATTTATTACATATTAAAAGACTAATTACTTTCAACCCAAATACTAATTAGTTGTAATTTTACATTTTGTAAAAAAATGTGCCACTATCCGAGATTTTGCCCATTTGTCTACATTTTTTTAAACTTTTTTAAAACACAATCAAATTTAATATGCTCTCTTATTCTTTTATATATTTTAATATGTATAAGTCAGAATAAGCATGTTGTTTGTTTGTATTGTGTTACACTGAATGACTGTAACCTTATTTCAACCAAATTTTGACATTTTATTATTCAAAAACGTATTTGAAACCTTAAAAGTAGACGCTTTACTTACATTTAATGTGCTTTCTCTTGATATAAAATCACTTTTGTAAATTTCTTTTGATGCGGACATCTTAACGTCTTTGACCCTCATACTTGTGTAAATACTTGAGTATTTGGTTTTGGGCCGTCATGAGGGTCGGTGAGTGTTGTTTTTGGGAATGATAATGCTGATGATCAGTACCTCTCGTGTGAGCAGCGCTAAAAAACAGCCGTTACTACGATCTGATGCTTCCAGTCTGAAGAATCTGGCCTTCATCTCCTCTGTTTCCTCATCATCTTCAATGATAGAGTCCTGCAGGAGACTCGGAGAACTCAACCTGACACACACACACACACACACACACACTTATTAGGTTATGTTATAGCTGGCACTGTGGTCAGTCAAGCAGGTTATAATAAAACAAAAGAAAAACTATATAAACATTACTTCGTTTTTTATTTCCTTCCGGTGAAATTCCAAACCAGATTGATTTTGAACCACGAGCGTTTGTCCACTCATTTGTCCTTCTCTTAAGATCATGTTACACTTTATCCAATGGTATAATATAAAAAAGTTAAATATGCTATTATAGACACAATATTGAGTGTTTTTGCTCTTTTCTGCCAGTGAAAACAGTTCCAAACAGTCACAGCTTTTGCGTCTCCGATAAACACAGAATGATTCAGCGTTAAACGAATCAGGCGAGTCAATCGTCCATTTGAGAAAGAAAAGTTCCCTACTATATAGACAGCAAAAAAGGGATGTGAACCAAACAGTATGTCTAAATGTCTGAAGTGTGCATCTGATGAACACTTTACGGATTCGTGAAAGGCAGCGCAGCGATGCAACTGATTCTGGAAGATCACAACAATGACAACATGATGAATGAAGTATACCCAGATTACATTCATACTTTATAGAACACACTTCAGGCCATAATTATTGTATTTTTTCAAAAGAAGCGTGTTGTTTTTGGGAATGATAATGCTGATGATCAGTACCTCTCGTGTGAGCAGCGCTAAAAAACAGCCGTTACTACGATCTGATGCTTCCAGTCTGAAGAATCTGGCCTTCATCTCCTCTGTTTCCTCATCATCTTCAATGATAGAGTCCTGCAGGAGACTCGGAGAACTCAACCTGACACACACACACACACACACACACACACTTATTAGGTTATGTTATAGCTGGCACTGTGGTCAGTCAAGCAGGTTATAATAAAACAAAAGAAAAACTATATAAACATTACTTCATTTTTTTATTTCCTTCCGGTGAAATTCCAAACCAGATTGATTTTGAACCACGAGCGTTTGTCCACTCATTTGTCCTTCTCTTAAGATCATGTTACACTTTATCCAATGGTAGAATATAAAAAAGTTAAATATGCTATTATAGACACAATATTGAGTGTTTTTGCTCTTTTCTGCCAGTGAAAACAGTTCCAAACAGTCACAGCTTTTGCGTCTCCGATAAACACAGTTGTGAATGATTCAGCGTTAAACGAATCAGGCGAGTCAATCATCCATTTGAGAAAGAAAAGTTCCCTACTATATAGACAGCAAAAAAGGGATGTGAACCAAACAGTATGTCTAAATGTCTGAAGTGTGCATCTGATGGACACTTTACGGATTCGTGAAAGGCAGCGCAGCGATGCAACTGATTCTGGAAGATCACAACAATGACAACATGATGAATGAAGTATACCCAGATTACATTCATACTTTATAGAACACACTTCAGGCCGTAATTATTGTATTTTTTCAAAAGAAGCACTGATTCAGAGAGTATGCGATTTCAGACGCAGCCAATCATCTGCGTCGCTCCTCAATGAATCAGCCGTTTGAAGGAAATGGTTGAGTGAATGACTCAATGACTCACTTAAGACAGTGACTTGTTTCATATTTAGAGTATAAGTGATAATTTCCCAACATTCCATTATTTCTATATTCAATATGTTTTATTTAAACAGTGTTATGGAATCTCTGAGATGGATTAAACCATGTATGTAAACCTAAATGCCATTTCGGAACCATTTCTGCAGGGAAAAACTAGATTTTGCTGATATTGATTTTAGCCCTTTAGAGTCTTATTATGCTCATTGCATTTACATGAAAGGAGAAGAGGTTCAAAAAGTTGCCCTTATTAAGAGGGGGCAAATATTGCCCCTTAAAATAGAAAAAAAAAAAGTTCATGTGTATTATTTTTTTTATCCTGGCGTCACTGAATTCTGCAGAGTGTAATTATGTCCTAAAAAACGGTAGATTTTTCACACGTGCAGCTCGCTTTACTGTATGTCTGTGCTGCGGTCTGCTTCTAATGCACTGAAAATACGGAGCACATCAGCTTCATTTTAACATCATTCAGTTTTTTTAGACAGAGGTTTACTTCATTTGCAAGTTGCTTTGGATAAAACTGTTTGCTGAATAATTAAATGTGCGTAATTAAAGCAGATTTCTAATGAGAAGTTTATGAAAACTGTTGCCAGCTACGCAAGAAAATGCGAGGCTCTTTCTTTCGTTTTTGCCAAAATAAAGGCTGGAAGATTTAAGCAATGCAATGTGAAAATGAAGAAATTAAAAGCGATATTACGTCTGTAATATTACAAAACAAAATAACTATTTTAATGTAAAATAAAAAGGAAATGTACACTTAATGGCTGATACAGTGTGGGAGAACTGGGTTCACTTTTTGAGTCAGTGAAAACCTATTAACAAATACACTCAAGTGTAAAAATCCTTCAAGAGGGAGTAGTTTATGAGCAAAACTGGAGTTAAAACAGATCACGGCTAGTTTGCAGTTCTTGCTGGACATGAGATGCTGTTTCAATGCGAGCATGCATGCATCATGCATTTCAATTGCCTTTGCCTTCATCTCTCATAAGCAATAAGAAGCGATTTCCAGTGTTTCAGCAGGATTCACATTAGGGGTTTTTCTGGACCTCTGGATCTAACTAACTCACACAAAATAGACAGACAAAAGGGGCTGAAATAACATTACTGCAGATTAAATAAGCGCTGATATTGTGTGTGAAGAAATTCCTTCAATACATTGAACACTGAGCTTTATACTCAACAACAGCTGCTCACCGTCAGCTGATTGGAGCACAGGGAGAGAGGGGCGGGGCTATTTATCACTGCACACAGCTGATTGGTTAATCATGACTAGCTCAATCTTTCCATCCACTCAAACACACACTCAATTTTGGTCATTATCGAAATGTGTTGAAACACGTCCCTTGACTTTTAAATATTCAAGAAACACCATATTAAGGCATCAGTATTTAGTCTCACCTGTATTTAAATAACTAGAAATGGTTTGATGCTATATTGTTTTTGCAGAAATATTGTAATTTGTCAGATTCCCTTACACCACTTCTATTATGTTTTTGTTGTATTATTATTTATTAAATTACTTCTGTTTCAGAATAAATCAGTAATTGATCATCAAATCACAAGTCTGCTTTAGGCAGAAGCTGACAAATAAAAATCATGACACTTACAGATAAAATATTCATAAACTGTTTATATAAAATTATTTAACTTATTTTTATGTATAAAATATACACAATATAATAAAATACTAAATACATATATATATATACACACACATATATATATATATATATAATGTATATTTATATATAAAATATACATAATATACATTTTATATAAATAAAAAAAATAATAGAAATATATTCATAGATTATACACACACACACACACACAATATACACACACAATATACAAATTCAACACTATAAACATTATGTAAAAATTTGTAAAAAAAATTATTTGTGATTTATTTGATGTTATTGTTATTTCTTAGCTTATTAGCACAATGCACTTTCATAATAAAACAAACATTATTAACCATCCTTTTATTTAATTCTAACTAGTAAACTTACAGAAAGGATACCTTGCCACCCTAAAACTAGGAAAAAAAAAAAAAAAATTTTTACCCAGAATTAACCAAATTGAAAAACAATTTGTTTTTGTCATTATTTCTCTATTCCCTTTTAATTTTCAAGTTCACAGAAAAATGTTTTAATGATCACGAGACAACACCTTCGAGATGTAAGTTCACACACACCTGTAGGGCGGCGCTGTGGAGTGATTCTCTTGTGTTTGTGAGAGGACCGTCTTCAGCACCTCCTCGTTCTCCTCTGGGTGAACAGAACAGGTGGAGTAAAGCACCGCCCGCACCTGAGGAACTACACACACACACACACACACACACAGACATGAGCAAAACTATTGTTAACACACTGCAGAGAACCACGGCTGTCTGTTCACTGACGGACTACAATTGATTCACGCCGGCTGTTAATTAACGCTGTGTTAACGGGAATCTGCAGGGAGGGGCCACAGCGTCTTCACGCTCGATAACTGCTGATGAATGGATCTCACACACACACACACACACACACACACACGCACATTAGATCAATATGACACAAATCATCACAGAAATTATGAACGTCAAAACAGGGAGGCATGTTTAAATCACTCTACGCTCTGGATCAGCTCTAGTTCTCTAGATCTACACTAGCACACGAGTTTGAACTCGTTCAGATCAGCGGTGTTACAGGAATAAGCCGTAAGAGGCGGATTATACACAAGTGTTAAGGCATGATACAAAACTGAGTAAACCACAATGTTTTATTTACTTATTTTTAATACATTTTTCCACCAAGTACCACAGTTCATGATTTAAATCGAAAGTTGCTAAATGTGAAAATCCAGCTAACAGGGAAATTTGGCTAACATTTTGGCATGGTTCTCTCAAAGTCATGAAAAATCTGTAACGTTAACAGAATATTCATTCAGATCTGGTCCCAGAAAATTAGCACAAAAACAGTATTTATACAACGTTTCCCTTATTTTTTTTCTAGTAAGACATTTAAATGTCGTTTGGTTTTGTTCTAGAAAGAGATATAAATTTTGTCCGGTTTTTGAATTAGTAAGAGATTTAAATGTTTGTTTTTTGTTCTAGAAAGAGATTTAAATGTCATTTGGTTTGGTTCTAGAAAGATATTTAATTGTTGTTTGGTTTTGTTCTAGAAAGAGATTTAAATGTTGTTTGTTTTTTGTTCTAGTACGATATTTAAATGTCGTTCTGGTTTTGTTCTAGAAAGAGATTTAAATGTTGTTTGTTTTTTGTTCTAGTACGATATTTAAATGTCGTTCTGGTTTTGTTCTAGAAAGAGATTTAAATGTTGTTTGGTTTTGTTCTAGAAATATATTTAAATATCAATCGGTTTTGTTCTAGAAATATATTTAAATGTCATTTGGTTTGGTTCTAGAAAAATATTTAATTGTTGTTTGGTTATGTTCTAGAAAGAGATTTAAATGTTGTTTGTTTTTTGTTCTAGTACGATATTTAAATGTCATTCTGGTTTTGTTCTAGAAAGAGATTAAAATGTTGTTTGGTTTTGTTCTAGAAATATATTTAAATATCAATCGGTTTTGTTCTAGTACGATATTTAAATGTCGTTCTGGTTTTGTTCTAGAAAGAGATTTAAATGTTGTTTGTTTTTTGTTCTAGTACGATATTTAAATGTCATTCTGGTTTTGTTCTAGAAAGAGATTAAAATGTTGTTTGGTTTTGTTCTAGAAATATATTTAAATATCAATCGGTTTTGTTCTAGTACGATATTTAAATGTCGTTCTGGTTTTGTTCTAGAAAGAGATTTAAATGTTGTTTGGTTTTCTAGAAAGATTTAAATGTCATTCGGTTTTGTTTTAGTAAGATATTTAAATGTCGTTATGGTTTTGCTCTAGAAATAGATTTAAATGTTGATCGGTTTTGTTCTAGAAAGATTTAAATGTCATTCGGTTTTGTTTTAGTA